TCCAATGCAGGTCTGCAGCATCGAGGTACACCATACCACACCGTGAGACCGTGGCGGGTGAGGCGACGGCAAGATCTGCAACCTCAAAGAGCATATGGATGGTCTCGGGCAACTTGATACGCTCCCCACTGTCGAGGCATAACAACTTGGAGTCATCCAGAACGGAATTTAGCGACTCAATCCATAGCGTGTCCACAGGCCCATCAAAAACAATCCAGCGATGGTCATGGTTCATCTCCGAGTCCTTCACACAATTCTTCGCAATCACCGATAAAACACCGTCCCGCCATTCATTCGTGTTGACGTCCAACTGACCGTACAACTCGGATAAAAGCACAGACTTGGGGTTCATGACAAACTGATGCACTGGCCGCGCCATGGGATTGGTTGATCCTGCCTCGGACATCGTTAAGAGAGCATCTGCAATGCAATTTCGAATTTCCGTTTTTCCTGTTCCCGTGACGCCCACCAACATGACGCCATGGCGAACAATTAGTGTTTCATAAAATTGAATGCCCTTCTTTATCCACGTGTCGAGGGCCATCAGCTTGTTGGTCTCAATGCTCTTATGCATGGCAGGCAGTAACTCTTCATACTGCCTTTCAGGAAAGCTAGCACCAGGGAAAAGATCTTGCATAATACCTCGGAAAAGGGGAAGGTCCTCCGCGACAAACTTGGGAACATTCGAGTCATTACATGCAACAATAAGGGTGAGATCTTCTTCCACATCCGGTTGGGAACGTTTCAAATCACCTGCCATGACAAGAATAGACTTAAGAGCACGCATACCAAAATCATAGTGATCTTGGGGTGACAGCTGCTCGGAACTAAGTTTATACAACTGCGTGATCTTCAATGAGAGATCTTTGGCGTTCTTGAAGCCCTCGGAATAAAGAATCACCTCTGCAATCATACGGAAGTCAGGTGTCATGACAGCCACAGGTCGGAAGAGAATCTTCAGGTTATCGGGAAGTTCTGTGCGTCCAGCATATCCAGGATTCATCGTGACAAAGGCACCGTAGGTGCGTCGCACGCGCACGTTGGGCGTCCCTTGGAACGTAAATGTCTCAAGTCCATTCTGCAGGGCAAGCTTTATTTCCAGCAATTGGGAGGCAATGACGGACAAGACCTCAATGTTGATGCGGTTAAACTCGTCCAGGCAGGTCCACGCCCCTGTTTGGATGAGGCCTGAGAAAAACTTCTCCATCATTTTGTACGTCACACCATCGGAGCAGTTGTAGACAATACACTGGCGGGCCAAATTCTTCGCCAAATCCTTCACGGTCTCTGTCTTTCCAGTTCCTGCAGGACCTGCGGGCGCTGCACCAAGATTTAGCTTCAGCGCCCCAGTCACCGTCATGTAGATACGATCTGTCAACGGGGTGATGACAAGACGGCCCTGCGCTCCCAAATACTCGTAGCCGTACACAAAACGTGAGTTGTTCTGCCGAATAAAGATGTTCCCGTAACCATCCTCGTCTTGCTCCCAGTAGACACGAAGCTGTTTCGTCCAGCCAAACTCCTTCGCCTCCAACACTTCATTTTCGCACATTTCGTCCACTAAATCACGTCCATGAACATCAATAGTGATGAGTGTTGAAAGAAGGATCCGCTGCAATTTGGACAACTTTTGTGCCGTCAAACCCGCAAGTTCTTCCAGTTTTTTGTAGTTTTCCTCCCGGAATTTCGACATGAGACGATCGGAGTGTGGATTTCCAAGCGCCTCCTCCACTCCGCGTGTCCATAGCAGTTGCTCCATAATAAGAACGAGTTGAACAGGGTGTTGAAACATCCAGTTAGTGCGATCACTCACCGCTTCGTAATCGCTAAGGCACGTATTCGCGTGTTTACGAAGCGTTGCAAACATTTCACGTTCCAGCATGCCAATCCATACTTCCACCGGACCTCGTGCCTTGATACTCTTATTGATCAGCTCCACCCGTTCCCCTTCCATTGACACAAGGTGCGTGATGTCGTTGGACTCCAAAAAAGAAAGAGTTTTAATGCCATCAAACATCTTCAACATGTGCGGCATAATTAATTCAGGGGTTTTTACCTTTGCAAGAATGTCAAGCAGGTCATCGTTGCTAAGGAAGTAGAAGCGCGGAAAGGCACAACGCTTCTCCTCCAGTTTGCGCTCCAAACTTGCCAACACCTTTTCCAGTTCTTTGATGTTGTTTTCAATATCCAACTTGAGTGTCTTTGAGGTGGTCGCCTCACTCGTTTCCAGAGGTGCATTAATGAGCAACCCACGGTAGGCAGTAGGCATATCATGTGCCTTTCGCATCAAATCACGGAAGAAACGGTCCACTTTTTCAAAGCGTTTTGCATCGTCTTTCCACTGACTACGAATCTCCGCGGAGGAGAAGATATTTTCAAGATAAATCCAGTTACGCTGAAGTTCCACCCATCGTTCAAGCGTCTCTCGCATGTATTTAAGACGGTGTTCCCAGCGATCCACCTGCGCACGCAACACACCTTGGCAGCAACGACTTGACCCAATTGTCGACATGGCGATGGACGAGTCTTCAAGCAATGCGGTGACATCTTCCACAGAGGAACCCACAAGTGTGTAGAGGTCCTTGATATCCTTGTGGTTGTGGAACTGGAACTCCATCGGCGGCTTAAGGCCTCCACCATTCCAGAGTGCATTGACCTTATCAATCTGTTGCTGCAACTTGTCCTCCTCCGTCGCCGCGGCACTGATGGCGAGAATCTCTTCCTTGTATTTAACAATGTTATTCTTTAGGAGCATACCGAGCGTAAATTGATTGTTCCATTCCGCAAGAGTCTTAGAGACGCCATGCTCATCCTCCAGTTTTCCCACCACGTTGGAGACTTTGGTCGTGTGCTCCAGCTTCATCTTTGGGTTGGTGAGGGCCAACAGAATTGGCGTGAGGACACGCCACTCCTCCACGTTGGATTTCAACTTTGAGACGGCCGCGTTTCCTGGCAACTTTGACGACACCTGCTTCACCGTCGTCACGTACTTTTGAACAATCTCCTGCACCGCCGGCACGTCAAGTTGTTCAAACGGAATAACTGCCTGTTCCTCCGTGAAAACGTCCCAGTCCCGCAGCCCCACCCACAGCCGCGCCTTGATGCTCACATCGTTCAGCATGTCTGTCATGGACTCCACCACCGTCTCTTCACCTCCAATGGCAATCTGAAACTGTCGGAGCTCCTTCTCCCGCGCTGCAATGCCCTCCGCCTCCGCCTGCAGTTTTGTAATAAACTCAATCATCACATCCACATCTGCCTTGTCATCCGCGACAATTGGCTGTCCGGCACGGTCGTACACATCCTCGATACGGCGACGAAGCTCTTCCATCTGCTCGTCCACGTTGCGGATAAAGAATCGCTGTTGTGCGTCCTTGCCATCATCAACTATTTGCATCAACGTCCGTAGTTTTTCAAACTGAGGCCTCGTTCCACTCCGGTAGGTTTCCTCCACATCCTCCTCAAGTGGAACCTTTTCTTCTTGGATGAGGTTAAACAGTTCACGGATAAAATCATACGACGTGGCAATGGTATCAAATCGTGTCTCTAATGCCTTGTAATAGGCGAGATGCTCTACATATTGCTCCACAGTCTTTGGCTGGGCAGAAAGATATGCGTTACAACTCTGCAAATCTGCCAAAAGCAACTCGTTCTGCTGGTGCGCAATGACAGGGAGTAGTTGATGGAACGCCTCCAGAGAATCCACGGGGCTCGGACTAAAGAAGTCTCGCAGGGCCTCTGTGTAGACTATGAAAAATGCCACATTTTTTGAATTGGGTATCTGACTAGTGATGGCCTCACTTTGAGCCTTGTAGAGGGCAAGGCGCTCACGGAAGAATTCTAAGCTCATATTGCTATGCAGCAACTCTTCAGCGTTAAGACGGCAGTTCTCCACATACATGTCCCGAAAGCATTGAAAGGTGTTCATGTATTCTTCCACAACCATGTATGCCTTTTCAATGTCCTCACGTATGGACACCACATGTTGTTTGTATGCGTCCTCAGAGACAATCATTTCACCAACGGCAGGGCCAGGAGAAACTTCCGCTTGAGGATCATCGGCAGCAAAATCCGTGAACACTTTAAATGTATCCATTAACACAAGTCTTGGGACCGCACTCAATGTCTTGATGTAATCCTTCACAATATCCTCCACACAATCCAATATGTGGGAAAGGGAGGGTGTGATACCAATAGTCTCATCCTTGTCATTGTACAGAATACTGAGACTCAAAATGGGTCCATCGAAATTTATGGGTGACTTCTGCACCTCTGCTTTCGTAAGGGGATCATGTCGTTTTAACCTAATCGAAGGAAGAGAGGGCCGTTTTCCGGCGGTTTGTGCCACAACGGAGGTCTTGGGGTAACAAAAATCGTGGTAGACATCCTCTACGGCTCTTGCAGCCAAGTTTGTCAGGCAGTGAATAATGATGTGGTCGCATAAACGAATGAATGCGGTGAGACGCTGGCAGACAGCCTTTTTTTGTGACATTTCAATGTAAGTAGGCTTCTGCTGCGTCCCCAATTCGCGAATGTCGATGAGTTTCCTCTTTTTCTTCTCATCTTCGGCGTGAAGGGCACTGACGCTCTCGCGTTCCATCTGTGCGGCCAACATGGCCGCCTTGCATGCGCGTTCCACGGTGTCTCGAATGCCCTTAATCATCTTTTCTAAGCGATTTCGTTGAAAGTTCAAATGAGCCGCCGCCGCCGCACAAAAGCCCTCCAAAGTACGGGTTTCCGTCGCCGGGAGATGCATCCTGTTGTTGTTGAGGCATTCCAAACAAGTTCGCCATACAGCCCACAACGCGCCGGAGAGCTGCGGGTGCACGTGAAATAGATTTTTCGTAAGAAATGTTTTGCAATTAGACATGGCGTGATTACGAACAAGTCCTCGCCAGACAATAAAACTCTTCCACTTCTTGTAGTCTCGAAAAACCTCCAGCTGCCTCAACTGGTTAAAGATCCGACAATCTCGCTCCCATGTGTGTAACTCAATAAATTCAGCTTCATGCCCACTAAATTTTGTCACACCCGCTGCAGAAACAGTGTAATAGTGCATGGGATCAATGTCTTTATGCGACACGGCTTGCAAGTCGTACGGATTGTACGGATCTCGAATTCCCCGTGGCCGCATGACAAGGTATGTAAACTCATTCGGTGCATTTGATCGTAACTTTGTGAAGCGTGGGATAGAGCCGCCCTGTGCCAGAGTCACTTTGCCGTCTCCACTCTCCAACCCCTCGTCGTCCCCTTTCGCATGCATGGTGGCGGCAGCAGATTGATTTGGCTGAGCAGAATTGGACGGCGCTCGCTTAAAAGACAATGTGGCCGCTTTATTCTCAGCAAAGCTGATAGTTAGGATCCGCTTGAGTTCCTCCTCACGGTACTTGGGCTGTTTGTACAACTGGAGAGTGCGGTGTGGTGGTGTCGGCGGCAGCGAAGTACGTGATGCCGGCGGATCCTCTTGGAGCGCCTCTGGGACGCCCCTCAACATCGCGGATGGTTCAACTTGTTGTTTGCCGCGTACCAAATCCGGCGTCCACGGCACGTCTTGCGCCAGGCGGTTCGGCACGCCAAGTCGGGCGCCACTGGAGATGCCGTCGCTGTACAGCCGGGCCAACAATGGGTTCACACCACACTGCGCGTCGTACACGTCCTTCGCGACGTGGTTTGGGTTGCGGTGCACCAATTCCTTCTTCTGCACCTGCGGCGTTGGCTGGTAGCGCGCCGCCTTGCCGCTGTTGGGACCAATGTTCATTCACCCCTTCCTGCTGTTTTTTTTTTTTGTTGTTGTTGTTTCTTCTACTCCCTCTTTTTTTGCTTTTCTTTTTTTTTATTGGCCCCACACGGAGGAGCACAAAACTACTGGGCGTGGGTCGGGTGGAGGGAAAAAAAAAGAAAACAAAAAACATGAGAGCCAACGGGTGGTTTGTGTGGGGGAGAAGACATCCCTCCCGCAGTGAACAGAAGGAAGAAAAAAAACATATGAGTGCGGTGCGTAAACTCAATTTTTTTTTCTTCATTTTGTTGTTGTTTGCGTGAAGGAAAAGCCAAAAGAAAAAAAAAAAAAAAAAAAAAAAAAAAAAAACACACACAAAAAAAGGAAGAACACTTCAAGAAGAGGGGAGAGAAAAAACAAAAGAGCAAGCAGGAAACAAAAAAAAAAAAAAAAAGAAAAAAGTCAACAACAACAAAAAAGAAATGCGCGAAGGGGTCTCGCACGGCAGTGTACATGCCAATTTTTCCGAAAACTCAGAAGTATTGATGCAATTCATTCTTTTTTTGTACTTCGTTGGATATTTTACCCCTTTCCGTCCCCCGCACTCCGCCTCGTTCGGCCCCTCCTCCCACTACTCGTACGCCTCCTCCCGCGCACACACGGGAAGGAAAAAAAAAAAAAAAAAAAGGGCCTTTCAAGTCATGTTGCCATCATTGCTGTACATAATTCATCCATTTCCGCGAGTGACGCATCGACAATTTCCATCCGCTGCGTCTCCTCAAGCGACTGAAGATAACGGAACTCGGCCCCGAAGGCAAAGTCGACCTCGTCGTAGTGGAGTGCCGAGATGGGGTGGGAAACAGAGTCCAGGAGCCCCGTCCCCGGGTTGCACCGCATGACTCCACGCGCCACGAGATCCCGCTGTGCCGCCTCGCCCAGCCGCAAGTAAAGATAAGCAATTTCCTCCTCGCTCTCCGTTTCACGCCGTATCGTCTCGCAGCGCTGCAGCAGCGGGTGGCAAAGCCTTACATCCAGCCCGAGAGCTTCCTCCTCCTCCTTGGCAAGTTGCGCCCTCCGTGGTGGCCGGTTTTTGCCAAAGGCGCGGCGCCACAACTCCTCGATGAACTCCACCTGCTTTATAGAGCAGTTCTCAAGAAATGGGAGCGACGCACTCATCCAGCCATCCTCAATTTCCTTCCGGGCACGGCGCTCAGCATCCGTGATGTCAACTGTCCAGATGGATGGGTGGGACCTCAACGCTCCTGTGATGCGGCGGTAGAAATCGTACTCAACTTCCTCAATATCGGATCGGGCAAGAGCCTCACGGCGCAAAAAAGCATCCAGCGGCTGCTGATTATCGCGTTTCCACAAGGGCCCGCCCTTCGCGTCTTCCTCTTGGCGTTTGAGTGCACGTGCGTAGAGTAACTCATCGATTTCTGTGCAGTCCAGTTCATCGTCCATGCCCTCTTTGTCCCTCCGCGTGGTACTCAAGCTCGGGGGAGTGCTGCTGCAATAACTGCTCAAATCGTTCTTGTCTAACGTCTGCGTCAGGGATTTTAGTGTCGCTGGCGCTGGCGGCAGACGAGAGGAAATGCGATTTAGCGTCAGTTGGTAATTACGTTTTGCCACGTGATAGGCGGCCTGAGTGTCCTCCTCTCGCGTCATCGCGACACGGTTCACCACCTCGTGCGACACGGTGAGCATGGCACCCACCTGGCCGTAGCGGGAAGTGATCATCTTCCTCTCTTCGTTTTCCCCCGCCTTTTTTTTCTTTCGTTGGTTTGCCTCACCCTCCTCCACTTTCAAATGTCACGCCCCGCCAGCGGCTCGTCTCTTCCCCTATATATGCGTATATGTGTATATTGTTTGGTTGGTTGTTTGCTTCTCTGCACGGAGGTGCAACTTTCTCCTTCACCCACGGCTCTGTTGCCCCTCGCCTCTTTGCGAGACGGGAGAAGGATAAAAGGCGTCAAAAGAGAGAATTGGGTCGCCCCCGCCACTGCAGTCACGTCGATGCGGGGAAAAGAAATCAACACAAAAACAAACAGCGACATCCACAACCACCACCCCCCACATCACAACCCCTCCCTCCCTTTCGCCAGTCACGCACATACGCATCACATACAACAAGATGCAGCAACGACACAGAAGACAGGCAGAGAAACAAACAAACAAACACACAAAAAGATCAAAGCAGGCCCTTCTCTTTCTCGCCCTCTCTTTTATTGTCGCACGTCAACCACCGATCAGCTGCATGGCCAACAATGGCAACCAAGAAGGGGTTTTCCTAGCCAAAAACCCTCCCGAGCTTGTCATGCGCCAACAACGTTTGGGGTGATTCTGTCGCCTTGAATGTCGGCGGGAGTCCCGGCGGCATCCGTCATTTGTTGCTGCGGGACTCCACTTTGCGTCGTGCTGCTCTCCATAAAAAGAAGACTCCGGAGACTCTCAATGCTTTCCCGCACGCCATTTATTAAAAGACGTTGTGCATCTTCACCCAGAAGCTCTCGCATGCACGCCAATACATGAGGATAAAAATCATTAACAAAGGCCTCCACAAAGAGCAGATAGAACTGTTTCTCGCCCCCTTCCATGGCCATTAGAAGATCCTTGTCGCGTGAAAGGTCCTTCGCTATGGTCTGCAGTAGTCCTTCCAACTTGGCAGCACAAAACAACTCCACACCCGGGACAACACATTTGCGGATTGTATTGAAGGCAGTGAGCACTCCGTTCAGAGCATACGCAAGCGGCAACCACTGCACAAGACTCAATGGGGGTGAAATGATCCCATTTGAAGATGATGGTGCTGTCTCAACTCGTTTTTGTAAGGAAGCAAACTGCAGCCCATTCGAAGGTCGCCACGAAAATGCCAGCATGGAGGCGGAGTAAGATTGCATGGCCAAGGCGATCTGTTCGGCAAACAACGCCCTAGCACGGGAGATGAGAGATTCGTTAATGAGCCCTGACACATCCATTTGCAGCAGCGTCGTGGTGGCGCAGCAGCTTTTGCATTCCTCAATGACAGAAGCCAATTCGGAGCCGTTTGTAATCTTCTCCAACGATGCACGGAAGCCCTCAAGAAAGACGTACGCTCTTTCATGGCACCAGGCAGCAAGTTCGCTGCACGACCCATTCTCAATCGTGGGGGAAAAACAGGCGGCGTACTGCAGGATCGTCTCCGTCACGTGAACCTTGAAGGCTGTTACGTACCTAAAAATGCGTGAGTACGGCACCCCGCTTTCCTCCGCCTCACGCAGCAGTCCATCCACGTACTCCGCACGCTTCCAAAGGAAAAGCTGCCGTACCTGACCCTCCCCGACCCCGAGTCTGCGGAAGAATGTCGTCACCTTCACGGCGGAGGCGACCGTTAATTGCTCCGCCAAACGTGGGAGCACAATTTCGGACAGCGCCCTCTCCAAATTGCAGCGCGCCTCCATTTCAACGCGACGAAACAACGCCACCGTCGCCATTGTCTGGGCGGACCGATTTATGTGCTCCAGCACCATGAGGGCCTCGTGGTACATCTCGTTTCGGATGCAATCGTCAAGCACGGCGGGGGCTTCCAAAAAAGCAAGCAACTTCTGGTGCTGCGAAACCGTTCCCAGTGCAATCTGCTTTTCCCTGCGCCACTGTTTGCCCACCCGGATCATCTCCTGGCTGAGGGTCTGCAGTCTGCCGAGGGAGTCATTGAGCCGCCTCACGCACGACAACGCATTCCCCGACGCGGATGCCACCTTGGCGTTAACTTCTTGAGTCTCTGCAAGTAGGGAGTAATGCTCCACCGTCGCCTCTACGATGCTGCGACGGACACCCTCTTCGTCACTCATGCGAACCTCCATGGATGATGCAACCCAATTCCCCAATGAAATACACTGCGCACACGGACACACACACAAAAAAAAAAAAAAAAAAAAAAAAAATTACAAGCGCGGGCAAAGGACAAGCAAATCCGTACCTACATCTCCATGCAAAGATGTGCTGCGACGCATCCATTCTTGGCGCCTACTCGGTGAATAATTGCGGAATGAAGAATAAGCAGGAGTGACGCACATGCAAATACAATATATATATATATATATATATATGTATATAGGTATATATATGGACCCAATGCTGCCACGGACAACAGGAGGCTCAATGGACTAAAACAACAACGGAAGAAAAAAAAAAAAAAAAAAGGCAAAAAAAGAAATCCCTCTCGTCCATTTTCTTCTCCCTTTGTTTGTGTGAGAGAAAGTGTACGAGGTGTAGGCATTGACAACTGTGACCCCAGCCGCTCCACCAACAGCGAGGAGGTGCAGCATTGTTCCACCTCACCACTCCTCAAAGTACGCCGGCGCTTTTTTCGACAACTCGTCAGTATTCGGAGAAACACCGTCGGTTTCCTTGCGGTCCGCAGCAGCAGTCCCGATTTTTTCACCGCAGTCAACAAAATTCCCGGCAGCTGTGCGATTCTGCTCTTCTTCCGGGTCTAAAGGCTGCATAAAAGTTTTTGTTATTTCCACCGCCCCTGCTACTGTTGTTGTCATCGCCTCTCCTGCAGCACCCTCACTTCCATGTGATGTTTCTAATTCTGTTTCTGCACTGACAGCTGCTGTGACTGCCGTAGCAACCGTCTCGCTGCATGGGAGCGTACCGTGAGGAGGGGAAAAATTGTCGAGTCTGTCAGCCTGCACTTCCTCTAGCGCAAGCAATTCACACTGCGATGGTGCCCCTCGCTCTCTATCCTTTAATCTATCAGTTCCATTTTCGCCTGCCGCCTCCAAAAAACTGTTGTCGTGCCGCACACTGTTATCTTTCGCGGCGTCCAAACATTCCGCCAAACCTGCCGGTCCACTCTGCCTCAACACGGCTACCGCACCGTCTCCTATCAGAAGGCTCTGCCCTCCTCCAAGTGGTGGGACGCGGTCACATGAACTGTTGTTGCCTATTCCAAATTGCGACCCTACGGCCTCAGCGTAAGCCCGCCGGGCGGATCGGAGGATGCCCGTCACGGCTGGTGTGCTCCTTTTAATGGAAAGAGGAGACGCAAACACCGGCAGACCATCCCATAAAGCCGCAAGGTGTTGCGACGCCGCACAAGTTTCCTTCGCCCCTACACCCGTACGGTCAGTTTTTTTCGCTTGCGTGGCGGCGGCCATACTTGTCTTGGTTGGAAAACTTTTCTTCGCCGCAGAAGGAGCCGGCGGTGCGCGCCGCGTCTCTTTTTCAGCCGAGGTCTGCCGAAGAAAATTTTCGCTCTTGACAGCTGACGATGCCGCAGCAGCCGCAGAATTTCTGTTGATCGTCGTGGTGTTATCCACGCGTCTCTTTGGTGCCTCCTCAGGCGGCAACTCAATGAGCTCCAGCGTGTGGCTACGAAGGGCAATGACAGGGGACGCCCGCGCCACGATGATGCCGTCCTCCGTGCACAAAGCCGCTCGTGCTGGCTGCAAGTGCCGAAAAACACCGCGACAGGCGTCAACGACACTTTGCGCCGTTCCGTCCACTGGGACGTGAATCCCAAGCGCCTCCTCGTCGCCCATGCCACCGCGTTTCACCCAAACCTTCAACGACATGGCAGCGCGCCAGCCGCTTTGGCATAAACCAAAAAACAACGAACAACAAAGAACAACAAACAAACACTGAAAAGCAACAAGAGAACAACATTGGGGATTCACGGCACAGAAACATGCAGTGAAAACAAAACAAAAACAACAGCAACAAAAGACAGCAAGAAGAGAATTCATCCTTCTCTCTTCTTTTTAAAGTAAATTTCATTCATGGAGGGCCACACTCGATATTCCTGCGTCCCATGAAAGAAAAATAATTGTAAAGATTAATCTACATCGTTAGCAATGAAGGGGGCACGCAACGTCTTTGGCAAAACACGCACGCAAGGCACATCCAGTCTATCCGCCTTCACCATCACTTCCATAACATCATCATGCAATCCGCTTTGCAATACCCGCAGCGTTGAGGACGTTGCAATCGGCGCAACAAAGAAGGGAAACTCGGGTTCTTCCCCCCCAATGGAGGGAATGTCATGTACGGTGAATCCCTTCAGGATAACGATGTCACCCTCCTCGATGAAGGAGGACGCAAAGGCCCAGTCATCGTAAAAGTAAAGATGCGCGTATTCCTCCTCGCAGTGCTCCTTGTAGTCGCCGTCAAGCAGTCTACAGCTCAGGTTAAATACTCGCCCTGCACAAAACTCGCGGGGGCGCGATGCAAAGACACGCTCCGCCCGGCACATAAGAGTCTTCCCGCCGTGCGGCACCCCACGAGGCAACTTGGCTAGTTCAGAGAGCGTCACACAAACATCCAAGTTCATCTCCTAATCCCCGCCCGCCCTCCCCCCCCAACTGTCTTTTTTCTTTTTTCCTTTTTTTTGCTGTTGTTGGTCGTGCCCTGCGTCCCTCGCCGATCGTCCAGAAAAAGACGCCGTGCACCACGCAATGAATAAAAAGACAGCGGACTCTCCAACTCAGAGAAGAGGCGTGTGGAAAAAAAAGAGGAAAAATAAATAAATGCTCATGACGTCTCCTCCTGCAGGCAAGCGAATGTGCATTCGACACAAGAGGGAGGGACGGAGAGGCGACAACACCCCGCAAATGTGCCTCTCCGCCGCGATGTCCGTAAAAAAAAAAAAAAAAAAAAAGAGAAGGGCGTCAACAATTTTTCTTCTTCCTCCCATCCACTCGTTGGGTTCCTCATTTCATCGCCGCACAGCGAAAACACACGGACAGAGAGAGAGAGAGGGAGAGAGAGGGAGAGAATGTCAAAGAGTGAAAGCAGCAACGACAACCACTCGGACAATTACCTCCACAAATCTCTTCATTTCAAACAAAAAGCGGCCCGTAAGAACCCGAGCGTTCAGCGTCCTCATCATATTTGCTTGTATGTTGTTTTTACTTTTTTTTTTTCTTTCTTCTTTTTTTCGTTTTATTTTCTATTAAAAAAAAAAAAAAAAAAAAAACAGCTCGTCACGGCTGTCGCTCTCTCCCCCCACACCCCTTTTGTTCTTGCCATTTACTCCATTGTGGACACACACACACACACACATGTTTATATGTGGAAATATATAAATATAAAGAAGAAAATATGAAAAAAAAAAAATGTCTTCCCGCTACCACCACCACCACCACATTAGCCACACAAAAAAGAAAAATGCTAGTTGAAACCTTCAAGCACAACGTACGCGAGCGGGATCATCCATGTTACGAGGCAGAAAAGAAACAAAAGCGTGATGAGAGTCCCGCAAAAAAGAAAGTCCTTCGCCTTAAGGTACGGCTGACCCGTTGAGTCCTCCGCGAGAAGTGAATTCACGTTGGGGAAGGAACTAATAGGGAAAGCCATGGCACCAGAACACATCAGGGCACTCAGCATCACGAGAGTCGCGGGTGTCACGGACAAAATACCCTCGTGCTTGGGAAGTAAGAATCCTATTTTGGCAATAATAGGCAGCAAAATCATAGCAGAGACGGTGTGCGATACAAAAGTAGTTGCGAGTGCCACCACTAAAATGACAAGCACAAACGTCAAATAAGGTGGCTGACTAACCAGCGTGCCATGCATACTGTGTGCCAAAATATCTAACATCTTAGAATCGTGTGCGCAGAGACCCAACATGTTGCCACCGGCTAAGAGGAACATGAGATGCCACGACAGTGTGTTAAAGTCCTCCTTCGCAAGAATGCCTGTGCCAAAGAAAACTACAATGGGGATGAGTGCTACAACGCCAGTGTCACCAAAAAGAACATCGGGCGAAATAATCCAGAGGATGATGGTGATAAGAGATACAACCACAACCACAACGCGGTCTGTAACTCTAGTATCTTTACCCGATTCCGTACTAACTACATGAAGTGGAATTCCCTTCACATCCTTAAACGGCTTCCACACCACAAGAATAATGGCCCACGCTGCGACAATACTGAACAGTACGATAGGAAGTGCCACCGCAATCCACGCTGCAAACGACACACTATGAAAACGCAACACATTCATTGCCACGGCATTTTGTGGTGATGCAATGGGAGACAACATGCCGCCGATGTTGCATGCAAAAGCCAACCCAAGAAGGATGCCGTGAGGAGCCTCCGTGTCCTCCGGAAATTCCCATAAGGTACGCTGAATGACACCTAGCACCAGCAACGGGGCCGCAACATTTGAAACAAATGCGCACAAAACGCCACTCCAGAGCATCACACCCAAAAGGTAAAAAGGGGGCCGATGCGCCGTTAGGCGGTAGAGTGCTGTCGCAGCGTAAGCCTCCAAGTTTGTGCGTGCCAAGGCCTTTCCAATCGTTAGACCACCAAGAACGAGGATCTGCACATGATCCATAACTTTCCCAAGTATAATACCAGAAGCCACCGTAGAATTGGCAACTTCATTTGTGTGGGGATCGGCAATGATACCGAGAGGGACCGCCACGATGGGAATGAGCATCGCCGTACAAAAAAAAGGAATTGCCTCAGTGATCCAAAGGGATACAATGAGTCCAAAAAGAGCCACACAGTTGTGTGCCGGTGGGTGTTCCGATAAGATTGGAAGAAACATAAGGAGACAAAACAAAGCAGCCGAAAGAAACACAAATTGCCACTTCGCATGATACGCCTGCTGCATTGCCACATTTTTATACTGGTCCAATGAATCTCCAAACTTGCGTTCATAATCTGAGTCTATATCTGCCATCAGAGAGCGCAGCCGGGGCATAAGCGTCACAAGACGGGAGCGATTAATTTCGGCTTCAATGGCAATTGTGAAATCCCCTTCACGACGTCGATGTTTCTTGAGTTTCTTTGCCGCCTTACGCACGGCCTCCAAGTTTAACTCCGCAAAGTGTTGCAGTTTGTGAGCACTCGAATGCCACTCCGCAAACTTGGCCCTTGGGGCGTGCTCGTCAAACGCCCGCTTATGGGAATCCCCGATGATCAGCAGGAAAAGGCTCTTGACGACAGAGGGAATGCATCCTCTTCGGCCCGGCTCGGGATCCACCGTGGAACTGGCCCTGGAGCTATCAAAAACCTCCGAATCCCCACTCCCATTGGTGGATCGTGTGTCCCGGTGTACACGCTTCCGATAAAAGCGCAAAGTACGTATTGGGTTCATAACGGGCAGGTCCGGATCCTGCTCAAGTAACTCATCATGACTTTGCTGTAGCTCATCCAGTAGGTCCTGAAACAATCCCTCTGCCTTCTCCAACTCTTCTGTGACCATGGCAAAAAAATCACGGCTAAATTCAACGCCACTCAACTCCGAGTGGTAGATGAGTTGCTTCAGTGCCTTGTAGTTAACGTACGACTCCCGCCATTGCTCCACCATCTCCTCCTGAAACCGTTTTCCAAACTTCATTGTGACAGCACCGTCCTATCAATTGCTTATATATTTCGTATCTTCTTTTTTTCCCCCTTCTATATATATATATATATATATCTGGCAATCCACACAAATTAGAGGGGAAGGGAAAAAAAAAAAAAAAAAAAAAAGGAAAAATGCAACTATATTTTTGCTCCCTGTTGCTTGTCTAGACGTACGTATCCTGCATTTCAGGTGTAAAGGGGTAAAACACAAGGAGTAAGAAAAAAATAAAAATAAAATATAAGGAGTAGAGAAAGTTCAGACCACTTCCAATGCATCCTTGTGTAGGGTACACAAACAAATTAAGGCTTCACAAGGGAAAGGAACAATAATAATATCGATAATATATAAATATATAAATAAATATATATAAATGAAATTCCGTGCTGAGGTGGCAAAGAGAGAAAAAGAAGCAAAAACAAAAAACAAAAAACAAAAACAAAATTGTTCGTTACAAATCATAAATACATGCCTCCTCTTTGTTTTTGCGTTTCTGCGTGTAGGGGTCCTTTTCAAGCGCCGTTAACGTCGTCGTTCCCAAGTGCTACAATAAAAAAAAAAAAAAAAAAAAAAAGGCGCTCCCCCTCTCTTCCATCTCGTCACAACATTCGCTGCCACACGAGGCAGAAGTATACTACAGACCCACTCGCTCCCGGATAATACAACAAGGAGCTCCTGTCAGCCGTCACCAGTAAAAGAGGGGGAAGAATACTCCAGACAGAGCGATGAGGCCCTCTGGCGTGGGTTGAGGATCATCTCCAGTGTCTTTTTCTCCTCGCGGAGACGAGAAAGATATATGACGGGTTTCCCAAGCACCAATTCAAACCATCTAAGCCATCGATTACGTTCCGAAAATCCACTGGTATGAAGTTCAATTGTTTCAGTGATGGCAAAGTCACTGTTGCCACGTGGCGCTGACACCACAACTCCCGAATGGAATTTACAGGACTTGCTCTGGCAGACACTCAAGATAGAGTCCCTATGTGCCTCCGTGGCTTCTGTCGTCTGCTCAAGAAAAAACGTGTTACCAAAGTCTTCTTCCTCCACCACGACCCGCAGCTTCCTAGTCGGCACCTTTTGTTTGCGGATTCTTCGTACGTGCTGCGAGACGGTGGTTGGGCAAATGACGAGGTACTCCTCCTCCTCCTCGTCCTCCAAATTCCCCTTTGTCAAATGTGAACGATTTGTGATTTTCTTGTAAGCAAACCGTCGGGTCTCAAATTGATTATCCCCGAGGTCAATGCGAATAATGCCCCCACATGGAACGTCCTTGGGGTTGATGTTCCTCACCTCTTGCTTTCTATCAGCTTCCTCAGGACACGAAGAAAAAAGAAAAAAATCGATATAGCGCTCAATTACAGCAGGTGCTGGCTTCTGCTGCATCAGTCGCGTGCTTTCTTCTATGAGCCCCCTCATCTCTGAAGCGGTGAGACAGACCCCGCTGCCTGTTCGAACGGAATCCAGCAGAAATGAAGCGTAAAACTCCTCGAGGCAGTGCAGCCACACATCACGTTCTCTTGACGAGGCAAATTGCATTTCGACCTTTCGGAAATTATCCTTCGCCGGTGGAGAAGAAACGTGCGGCTCCTTGAAAACCAGCTGCAAGCCAACATCCCCATTTGGGCTGAATGACGAAGACGACGACGACGATGACAACATCGCACCGTTCGACCCTTTTTTTTTCGTCCTCACAGTATTCTCTGCGGCATGACAAGGATCAAATGCCCCCGGCTGCGTATTAAAGGTAAAAAAACCCTTTTCATGAAGAAAAAAGGTAGAGACATCCACCAACTTTGTGAGCGGAAAGCTCAGTATGACATCACCAATTTCTTCAGCCGCTCCCCCAGCACGTTCTCGCCTCTGCGGGTACCGCACCACAAACGCCGCCGTGTGCGCTGATGTTTGCTCTATAGCGACGTACCGTTCCTCTGGAGATGGAATCATCACTTTGGAGGCTAGACAAGAGGTTACGGAGCGGAACGACCGTCCCAAGGAAAATTTCTGAGGCTTCTTCGGTGAAGAATACGGCGTGGAAGGTTCTTGATCCTTGTAGTTCCCGGTTTCAATGACACGTACGGCTGCGTGTGCTCTCAGATCCCTGAGCTGCAGAAAAAGCATTGAGGACTCCACGCTACCCCGCTGTTGTCCTCCTATAAGCCGCAGTGGTGACGAGGGCGTTGTTTCAGGGTCCGAGCAGCCCAGCCTAAAAGATGACTCCAAGGAAGCCATGCGGAGTTCCCCTCTTTTGTAGAAACAAAAAAAACATAAAATAATAACCATAAAAACAACAACAACAACAACAAAAAACGGGAAATAAAGGCAAGAAGAAAAAGAGAAGTATCATTAGAAAATAAAGAGAAATACCAAAAGACACCTTGCATGACAGGCTGCATAGCAGCGACAACTTCAAGTATGAAAAAAAAAAAAAAAAAATAAATAAATAAAAGTCTCTCGTCCGGACGACAAGAATTTATTTTCCGCTCCTCCTTATCCCTCAAATTTATAAACACAATTCACTGACTACTGGAACGAGCCAAAAATGAATACCTTATAGTTAAATAAATATAAATGTAGATATAGATAAATAAGTAGATAGATAGATGACGTATGTTCCCTAAATACAGCATGCAAAAAGAGAAAACCTCACGTCTCAACCACAGAAGAAGCAGATGAACCCCCTCCATACGGATTGTGCCGCCATACAATGCCAAACGATGTCGAATTGTAGGAGCGGGACAATACTGGGGAAGTGCCTAGTTTGGGGGAACCCGATAGTGACACCGTTCCAGTTGCCATCGGCCGAGTTAAAAAATTGCCGCTACATGAAAAGAATTGAACTGGACTGACACCTATAGAACATTCCGCTTCCGGCCCCAGTGTTAAAAGTTTGGTGTTCGAACGCGGGGGTGAGTAGCAGGTGGTGAGGGCTCCAGTGGGGGACGGTTGTGTTGGCTGCGGTGCCTCATCTCGATTGGGGGGCTCGGATTTCTTCTCATTTCTTCGCTTGTGTATTTCTGCGACAAGCTCGCGACACAAATGAACATAATTACACTCATGACCAAAACGACAACAGGGGCCCGAGTAATGTAGACGACAAAGCGAGTCCACTATCACCGTAACAGCGTTTGACTCAGCCACTCCGCCCTCAGCAGCCTGCTTTTGAAGGAGGATTCTAAATCCTTTAGTCACAGCTATGTGCGCTAACGTTGTTCTCTGGAGTTCCTCAGGGTCGTCGTTCCCAACTACAATAATTGCCAAATTAGTTGCGATACCTTCAGCGTCACTTCTCGCGCCATGAGTTGCACAACACGTCGGTTCCCGTAGCGCAGCCATGCGGAGCTGATTGACGACAGTGACGTCAGCATGCGCCTGGTAACAAGACATTCCTTGACGGCAGCGGCCCTCCATGTGAAGCCGACACAGGGACGGCACCCCTGGCCTGTGCATTGCGTGCGTATCACACATGGAAGCCTGTGGAACAAAGAGCATTCTGCTAAAGGGATCAATTACAGCAAAGGTTCCCAGTGGGGCATCCTCTGCGCTAAGAAGGTGCTTTGGGGCTCGAGGTCTTCTTCCCATAACCCCTCACCACAAGTTAAAAGCAGAAGTTCTGAGAAAAAAACAAACAAACAAAACAAAAAAACAACAAAAACGACTAAATATCGTATTGGATCACACATACTTCTGTATTTGCAAGTGTGCATGGATGTAAAAACAGCGGGGTAAAAAAAAAAAAAAAAACAAACAAAAAAAAAACGAATGGGGAAGAAAAAAAGAATGAAATTGAAGGAGTACCAACAACAATAAACTTTTATTTTACTTTTGCTTGCTGGGATATGTGCGGGGCCCTCAAATGGATTGAAAGAACAGTTTCTTCTCTGCCCATCACCTTTTTTTTTTTTTTTTGCCTCTAGGCCCTTTGCAGGATAACTTCGGTTCCAGCAGAACTAACGGCGACATCATCGCCAACAAACACGGCAGATTTTACGGAGTCCTCGCGATGGCGAACGGGAAGTGTCGCTCGGGCCCCTTCAAATGTCAACGCACTTACGCACTCAACGTGCCCATCCCCGGCGGGCACCACAATGGTGTCATTCCTGGACCACCCACAGCGCAAAAGAGTGCGCGACTCACCCTGCTGCACCTCGATGCGGTGAAGCAGACGATCACTCGTATTGATTGCAAAGGGCATGACATCCCACAAAACAAGCGAGTTGTCCATGCCGTAGGACACCATGCTGGTGGCACCCACGTTGAGGGCCACGCAATTCACAACGTCACTGTGCCCCTTGAGGCTGTAGAGGCTTCTCATCGTACGGGCATCAAAACAGCGAATATTCCCAAGGACGTCACCAACAAAAATTGAGTCACCCGAAGCCGCAATTGAAGTAATTGGCACGCGTAGATTAATTGTTGCGCCATTTTTCTTCTGTTTGAAATCGCCCAACACCAAAAAGCCGTCATCCCCACCAAAAACGATGGAAGTATCATTCGCCACCGTCACTGCATTTAAAACCGTCCAATTCATGGGTTTCCCACGACCAGAGAGCCGACAGAATGAATGCTCTCGCTGCCCCGTTTCAACATTCCATACGCCAACATTACCATCGCCCTGAGCCGTGCAAAGACGTGTAAGGCGGAAAAAGCAGGCATCCACAATCGCAGGGCCATCTGTAGCGATTCTACTGACATGGGTTGGACCCCCATCATGGAGAGAAGCATCATGCCTCCAAAACAGCCCGACACCCTCCACATCGCACGTGGCAAAAACACCGCTGCCGTCAGTGGCAATACCTAAGACATCATTGTTGTGGCCAGACAGAAACCATGAATCTCCTCCATTAGCGCTTCCAGCAGGTTTTACTGCGAGCGACAAAGACATGCTTGCTTTTCTCCCTCTTCCTCTTCCTCTTCCTCTTGTTCTTTTTTTTTTTTTTCAATTTTATGTGTGCGTGGGGGTGATTACATTAGATTTATCCAGATAACAACAACAACAACAACAGCAGCCAATAATAATAATAATAATAATAATAATAATAATAATAACGGCTATGACAGCCAATGTCATGCGGATGTTTCATCGAAAACGCAACAGCAAAAAAAAGCGTAATGCACCATTCGAGTAATTCATGCCGCACCCTGGGCGCAGACAAGCCGTGTGTTCCTCATATATATGACGCGGCAATAAAAAAGAGTACATTCCTTCGGAGTTCAACCCCATTTGACGATTCAATTAAGAAAAAAAAAAAAAAAAAAAGCCGACAACGTCACAGGCACAGCCTGCACTGCCACATTTCTGGAAAAACCTCCCCAATCACCGCCCCCCGGCAAACCCCACGGGGATCATGAGCCACTGCCAAACGGTGATCCACAAAAAGAAGAACTTCCCCGAGAAAAAAAAAAAAAAGGCACACAAAAACAGATGTGATTCTTGTTCCCAGCGCTGCCCTTACGTGCTCTGCTGCATGGGAGAAATTGCCGTTACGTTCAGTTTTGATCCAAACCATCAACGTCAAACAAACATCAAAAAGAGACAAAAGAACGGCTGATAAGTTCCCTCAACGAAGCTTGTACGGGGCGACATCGGTACTGTGTGTCTTCTTTTCCAACGACTGCCTCAGCGGCCTCATCAATGAACGACACGCAGAGCCTGGTGCACACTCACCCTGCGGCTGCAAATTAAGTAAAAAAATGCAATCAAACGCGTTTGACTGCGCCTTTTCACTCTCGTCAACACTCATCACTGCAAACACAACTGCACGTTTTGTCCACTTTTTCATTATGCCAGAAAATATCGTCTCATTTTCGCTGCACTAACGAGTACTTTTTGCGTCCGCCAGAAGTGCGTTGCATGCCCCTTTCCCCGCCACCCCCCTTTAAGTAACATGGAAACAAGTCGGTGCCCGTCATTTCTTCAACCGTCTCCTGAGAAAAGAAAACAAATTTATAAAAGGGAGAAAACACACTGTTTAAAAACATGCAGAGCCGAACACATAAACTTTAATATTATAAGTGGGCTTCGTGTGGCAAGGCAGAGAACATCAGTGTGAGTACCTATTGTGTGTGTGTTTCTGTGGGAGGGGGTAGAGCCCTCTTTTTTTTCTTCCCCCCTCCCTTGATTTTGTTTATTTCTCTCCACAGGAATGTTCCCGCGTGTCTTTTTCCTCCAACTCAGCAAAGAATGGTGTCCTCTGATCTATGTAGTCGATAAAGTTGCGCTGCAGAAACTTTTTCAACGCGGCTCCGCTCAGTTTTTCGCCCTCTGCCAAGAGCTCATTTTCCTCGTCGGACGCACACGACTCGGTGAAGGGGCACGCAACGGCCTCTTCATCCGCAGCCCCCTTTTCCTCCATGGCACACAAAGAATCATCTAAAATGCTGCTGGTCGCTCCCTTCTCACCATCACTGCGGCCCTGTGCCTTTGGAGGTGGAACCTCCTCCATCCGCGGCTTCTTTCTGGCTGGACCACCCATCTGACTGCACACAAGGGGGAGAAAAAAAAAAAAAAAAAAAAAAAAAGAGAGAAACTGAAGAAAAGAACAAACTAAAAAAGGCAGCATGAGAAGAAAAAAAAGTGCCGTCAGTGCAATAAGTTGAACATCCACCTCGCAGCTTCTCACGTCTCGTCATGAGAAGCCGCCTTTTTTTGTAGGGAGGCCTATGGCCATTCACACGCGTGGACACACACACACACACAAAACTCTCTCTCTCTCTCTTTTGGCAGCATCCATATAAATCCTACATTTTGGCAGACCTGCAGTCTAATCATTGTGGCCGTGCGTATAGAGAGTCTTGTCCTTCTGAAAAATCCTCTCCGCCTTTGAAGTATTCGCAGGATTTGTTGCGTAGCGATAAGGTTTCCAACGCGCCTTCGTTGTGACTTGCGGCCCCAAGAGCCCAACGTTGCAAAACAATCGCTTCACGGGGCGGTGGTGGTAGTTGCACAATTGAAACTTGTCTTCCATTAGGTGCCGCATGAGTACGTACACGCCGTCCTTCTCCACACGGTCAAAAGGTCTAAAACGCGTGTCCCAAGGTTCTGTGCGCTTCGAGGCACTAAATTCCACGTACGCCCGGAGACTGTCGGCAAGGATGCGGTGTCTGTCAAGAAGAAACTCATCACGCCATTTTTGCGCCTTTTCATGAAACCCCTGACCAACTTTCGGACGCTTCTTTGGCTTCGCCCAATACCTGCGTTGTGTGAAGGTGCTAGACAAAGCCGTGTGGCAGCCTCGCAGGTCCGCCCCGCTCACAAAGAGCCTATGAAATAATGGCATCTGACGCTTCCAAAGGAAGAAAACAATAAAACCAACAAGTGAAGAAAAAGAGGGGAAAATGAAATTGGATTTGGCAGATGCCGAATGACAAACATCATTCTCATTAGAAGCTGGGGAAGTATGCAAATAATAACAATACATTGCAACCCCCCCGGAGAACACAGAGGAAAAGGAAACAACACCACCACTAAGAAGGGAAATTATGTGCATTGGCCGCGGACCTTGGAGTCTAAGAGTTTTTCAAGCTTCGTGAGTTGGTGTTTCAGGTTTTCAATCTCCTGGCGAAGCTCGTTCATTTCACCAGGAGTTTCCATGTGTTCTGGGATGTCGGAATTCGCTCCTCTTTCAGCCACCACTTCGTAGCGTTTCATTGCTCTGGAAAGCCTGGCCTCTTCCGCGGCGTTGGACGCCTTCTGACGCATGTACTGTTCCCGCACTGCCTCCTTGAGCACCTCGCACTCCTCTCTTTTCTTCAGCTCCTCCTCCGTGGGGGCCAAGGCAGCCTTCATAGGGTCCTCTGGCAATGGCAGCCTGCTAAAGAGGCTTTCCACCATCAAATCGAGCTTTCGGCGTTGTGCGGCGTCGGCTTCCGGGCTCTCGAGGTGGTCCAATTCACTTTGCCCAATGCAATTTCGCAGCGCCTCCCCAATGCCACCCTGCCTTCGACGCTCCTCCTCCTTCAGCTCCTCCTGAAGCGTCCTCATGAGTTCATGCGGCACGGTTCCCGTTCCGAGAACACTACCAAACCCTGACAGGCGCCGAAGTCCCCTCGGCAAAAGCGCAAGGCCAAACCACCGACGGCACATCCCTCAGAACAAATGTTGCGGGAAGCCACAGAGTGGCTGGAAGAAATCAAAAAAACGGCATCGGACAGAAAAAAAAGAAAAAGAAAGAAAAAGAAAAAAAAAAAAAAAGATTGCACGAACACTCTTCAGGCCAAAAGAGCATCCTTAACACAAACCGCTGCCCATTAAAAAAAATAAAAATAAAATAAATAAGAAACAGTTATTTATACACATATAACCCCCCAAATAAACCTTTTTATTTGCACCATCTCCTTCTTATCGCTCCGCGCACAAAAAGAGAAGACTCCTCCCAGTGATGCCTAAAAGAATCGGCAAAAAATAACAACAGAAAAAAATACCTGCAAGTCAAATAATAATAATAATAATAATAATAGAGAGGGGAGAAAAAAACAAAATGAGTAGTAGTAAAAAAAAAAAAAAAAAAGAAAAGAAAAAAAAGACGCCACGTCTCCCAACCCCGACCTTCACAGAAATGAGGCGTTAGACGGAATATATATATATATTTCATCAAGGGATCGGAGAGCACCTGGTGGGATCATCAACCCTCTGAAAAAGTTGTTTACCATTATTTGTAGCTGCGATGCAATATCCCTCCAGTGGATATAGAACGCGGTACCACGTCGACTCCTCATTCTTCAGATGCTCACAGCTCACAAATATATGATCGCCATATGCAAATTCTCCAATTCGTTCAGCCTTCAACGATGGTTGAGACCGAACGTTAACACTGGAATGCGGCCGACAGACAAAAAGACAACTTGTCCCCTTAAGACGAGGGGGTTGCCATGGCCATGAGCAAAGCACTGGAGCAAAAATGGGAAGTGCAAGTAGTTCCCTTGCTGTGGGCCGTTTGGTACGACTCTTAGTTAGCATCTTCATTACCAAGTCTCCAAGTCCCTCAGAGTAACAGCCTTCCCTCAGTCGACATGGATGCACTGCTCGTATCTTTCCAAGATATTCACAGACTTCTTCCACACTGGTTGCTGGAAATGGAAGCTCATTTGTCATCAGTCGATAGAAAGCCACGCCCATGCTCCAAACATCTGTCTTCCTGGTATACTCCAAACCAGACACGACCTCTGGAGAGAAGTACAGTGGTGTTCCCAAACTTGTAACAGAGACTTCATCTGTAAATTGAAGGGCTTTACTTAGGCCAAAATCACCAATCTTTACCATACCAGTGGAACGCTGCAACAAGAGATTTTGTAGCTTAATGTCCCGGTGAATGAGGTGCTTCAGATGAACATGGTCAAGCCCCAGCAACAACTGTGCAAACATCGAAATCAGTTGAGACTCCGAAAAAGGAAAGGCAAGGCCAAGGTAATCCTCCAGGTCCCCTCCGTCACAGTACTCTAGCAGCATGTAGCATCGATTATCCAATGGTTCAATCCATGCTCTATGGCATCGAACGACATGGTCGCTCGTAGTCAACAGCATGTTTTTTGCCTCTACAAGGACAAGATCGTTACTTTTCGCCGACTTTGAGCACTTGAGGACAAATAAAGACTTAAGCCTGATGTGTTCCACCAGGAACGCATCCCCAAAGGCCCCACTTCCAAGAAGCTTGATTAGACGGTATTGGCCATCAATAATATATCCTTGCTGCTGCATGGTTGCTATTCTTTAAAAGAAACAAATTGAAGCGTTTATTCTCAGCAAAACATACCAAATGACAAGAATCACACAAAAATGCATCCATATATAAGCTAAAACCAATATTCACTCCAATCAAAAATGTAAATAGAACACATAACCTAAAAATAATAACCCTACAGGTCAAGCCTCATCTGCCTTTCACGAGCCTCAAACCCCAACTTTTTATAAAACTCTATCGCTGCCTCTGCGCAATCAAGAATAACTTTATAGCAGCCCCGTGAACGGGCAATATTGCAAAGGTCACCAATGAGAGCCTGCCCAAGCTTTTTGCCTCGATATGAGGGATCAACAACGACATCTTCAATGTGTCCCACGGATTTTCCACCGCGCGAAAACTTGGGTTCCACAAACAGAGATGCAGTCCCTACGACGCGCCTGGTTGGCCTGTGAATAAAAACCTTTGTTACCATGCCGGCTTGACGACGTGCCTCAGCAATTGCCTGCAGCGCAGATGCAGTCACAGCCGGTGCATCAGTCAGGTGCCTTAGAAGATCTAAAAGACTCGGTACATCCCCCTCTTCAACTTCCCTTAATTCCAGTTCACCTAAATCATCCGACATGCCCAAATGTTATTCCTTGAGCCAAAAAAAAAAAAAAAAAAAAAAAAAATGGCTTTCAGCAAGCAAAGTTGCACAAACATCCTCAAAAGAACTTCAAATTAATTCATTATCATTCACAAGCAAAAATTCAGATTCAAAAAAAAAAAAAAAAAAAACACAAATCAATGAGGACCAAAAACACTCTTAAATTGCGGAGGGGCCTTGTAGTTTCCCGCAATACTGGAAAAAGAAGAAGATTGAAATGTGGTACTGGTCTTTGAAAATGGGGTGGCGGAACCCGTCCCATGGGCTCCCACAGCACCAAAGGTGCCGTCACCTTCATTCCGACCAAAACCTCCTAAAACAGTTGATGCATGATTACCAAAAGCACCAAAAGCCTGACCAAACCCACTTCCCTCCAATACAGATGGTTTGCCACCACCAATTGCCGGACCACTTACACCTGTTCCACCAAACGCACCGCCAGAATGCATTCCAGGAGAACCAAAGGCACTTCCAATATGAGGCAACGCGCTTCCAGCAGGCAATGTAGCATGAACATTCTGTAACATAGAACCAAAAGCACTTGGTGCTCCAAACCCACCACCAGCAGCAAAGGATGTGGTTGCAAAAGCCGTCGATGGCTTTCCAAACGACACCTGGGCAACACCAGGCGCATTCGCAAACACAGTGCTTCGAGAGGCATCAAACGCTGTTCCCTGTCCAAATGGTGATGGTTTGTCACCTGCTGCGGCCTGCCCAAATGGTGATGGTTTGCCACCTGCTGCGGCCTGTCCAAATGGTGATGGTTTGTCACCTGCTGCGGCCTGTCCAAATGGTGATGGTTTGCCACCTGCTGCGGCCTGTCCAAATGGTGATGGTTTGCCACCTGCTGCGGCCTGTCCAAATGGTGATGGTTTGTCACCTGCTGCGGCCTGTCCAAATAGTGATGGTTTGTCACCTGCTGCGGCCTGTCCAAATGGTGATGGTTTGTCACCTGCTGCGGCCTGTCCAAATAGTGATAGTTTGTCACCTGCTGCGGCCTGTCCAAATGGTGCTGGTTTGTCACCTGCTGCGGCCTGTCCAAATGGTGGTGGTTTGTCACCTGCTGCGGCCTGTCCAAATAGTGATGGTTTGTCAGCTGCTGCGGCCTGTCCAAATGGTGCTGGTTTGTCACCTGCTGCGGCCTGTCCAAATGGTGCTGGTTTGTCACCTGCTGCGGCCTGTCCAAATGGTGGTGGTTTGTCACCTTCTGCGGCCTGTCCAAATGGTGGTGGTTTGTCACCTGCTGCGGCCTGTCCAAATGGTGATGGTTTGTCACCTGCTGCGGCCTGTCCAAATAGTGATGGTTTGTCACCTGCTGCGGCCTGTCCAAATGGTGGTGGTTTGTCACCTGCTGCGGCCTGTCCAAATGGTGGTGGTTTGTCACCTGCTGCGGCCTGTCCAAATGGTGGTGGTTTGTCACCTGCTGCGGCCTGTCCAAATGGTGATGGTTTGTCACCTGCTGCGGCCTGTCCAAATGGTGGTGGTTTGTCACCTGCTGCGGCCTGTCCAAATGGTGATGGTTTGTCACCTGCTGCGGCCTGTCCAAATGGTGGTGGTTTGTCACCTGCTGCGGCCTGTCCAAATGGTGATGGTTTGTCACCTGCTGCGGCCTGTCCAAATGGTGCTGGTTTGTCACCTGCTGCGGCCTGTCCAAATAGTGATAGTTTGTCACCTGCTGCGGCCTGTCCAAATGGTGGTGGTTTGTCACCTGCTGCGGCCTGTCCAAATGGTGGTGGTTTGTCACCTGCTGCGGCCTGTCCAAATGGTGATGGTTTGTCACCTGCTGCGGCCTGTCCAAATGGTGGTGGTTTGTCACCTGCTGCGGCCTGTCCAAATGGTGATGGTTTGTCACCTGCTGCGGCCTGTCCAAATGGCGCTGTTTTTTGTTCTGTTTGAGTTTTTTCGAGTGTTGTTTTTTGTTTATTATTTGCAATATGAGGCTTATTTTGTTGGTTTATCTTCAATTTGTCCGTAGAAGGATTAAAGCTTTTTTGGGCGTCGGCGTGGGACGGGTTGCTGGGAGCGTACGGTGTTGTATCTTTTTTTTCTTCTATTTTTTCTCTTTCAGTGTATTTGGTTGAATTGTACAAAGGCATTTTTCTGTTGGGATAATTAGGGGTATAACCCACCGCGTACATCATGTGTGTGGGGCGTTCCTTCTCGGGCAGCCTGTGCGACCCACGTGTGCAGTCCGCAGTGAGCCTTTTGCAGTGTGAAAGGAGCGACTCAGCACCAAAGATGACACTTCCTGGTGTCGGTTTCTTCTCCTGCATGCCCACATGAAAATTAGTATGCAACGGCAGGTGCAGGTGAGGCTCCTGAAGCGCTGTTATGTCCAGACTGAGCGACGGTATTTGTTCGGATGCAAGGCGTTGTACATTTGCGCGCAGCAGCCTCACCTGCTGGCAGAGCTCCTGTAAACTTGCAAGTCCACACGATGCAAATTCACCATGAACCTCTTCACAGACCGCATCTAGTTTCGTGGGACGTAAGGCCATATTTATTAAATCACGGGACCCCACAACAATCAACAACAGAAAAACAAAAAATAAAAAATATATAATTCTGTGCTCAATAAAAACAAAAAACAAAAAAACAAAAAAAAAAAAAAAAAAAAAAAAAAGGCAGAAAAAGAGGTAGAAATTATACCCCAAGCAAACATTACAATTTAACGGCCTCAATTGTGCCCATGGCGCATATCGGCAAACCAGCATCATAACACGGCAGTACAACTTACAAATAGGCAGTATTTCTTTTGTTTCTTTTTGCATCATGGAAGCCTAGAAACACCTGACCTCTGCAGCCTTTCTTCCCAAAAATTGTTCTTTTGGAATCTACGATCACGAAAAAAAAAAAAAAAAAATCTCGCAGAGATGAGCAGACCTTACATGACAGCACTTCGTCCCTGGCTCAGCCGGCCACCTCAACGTGGTGCCAGGGTCTAGTACTCTTTGCTAGAGAGGAAGCTAAGCGCCTGCTGTTCATGCTTCAAACCCGATGAGTAGTTGTTACTTAGTTTTACGGGCCGGAAGGGCAGATGTTGGAGCCATTCTATAATGGCTGCCCGCGGAGTAAGGTTATCCTTGCTGCTGAATTCCATCGTACGCTTACCAGAGCTGCACAATTGAGGTGTAGTTACTACGACTGGTAAGAGCAGAAAAAAAAAAAAAAAAAACAGCACTTCGTTGAGCCACGGTGGGGATCAAAAAAACTCACTTTTTTTTTTTTCCCTGGCAAAAACCGAATCCCATAAAACACGTCAATGACCAGAAATTAATATTTAACGTGTCGCACGATTGGAATAAACTTGTTCCGCTTTTGGATCCCCGGACCAGCTAAGAAGCAACGAGCTGCCCAGTAAAAACATCTCCATGTCAGCACCGCGGACCCAGCTTGAGAGCTGGCAATATGCTATGTCTGTCAATGCCCCCACCATAAACATTTCCAATTCGCCTATAAACGAGCATGCCACAAATTCCCTCCAGCGGGGGGCAGAAAGCTGATATAAACGTGTCGCACAAAGACACGCAGGAAAAAAATGAAAAAAACCCAAAAAGCCTTGCAACGCGCCCACCAGTAATATAATTGAAGAAAACGTAAAGACGTAATCGCTTGTGCCTCCCCTCACCGTCAATGCACCAAATCTGCAAAAAAAAAAAAAAAAAAAAAAAGGCAATAATTTAATCCCACTCAGGCTCCAAGCACAAAACTAAATCCATATATATATATATTTATTAATAAAGATACGTTTTTGTTTCACTATTGCATATCTAAAACTAGCGCACGAAAAAGTGAAAAAAATAACAAAATTATCATTAAAAATAAAATGCAATTCAATGCCATACAGACACTCTCGTTCCTCTCACACATCCTAGGAAAACAAACAAACAAAAAATCATCTTTAAACTCTCCCATGAAACATATATTAAATATATATAGGGAAAGGGTGGCGGGCGTTTGCCCACCATATCCAGTTATCAACCTCACAACCCAAAGGTCAATAATACTTGCGAAACGCATTAGAAAGATGCGCCCTCAACGCTTGAGAGAACCCCACAACCTCACTTCCCTTTTTACCTGAAGAAGTCATTTCATCTCTAGTGGTTTTTGGCAATGCAGCGTGATTGTCTCCCTCTGTATTTTGAGGAGCAAAAAAAATTCCCTCAATCTCACTTCTAATGACACCAACAAGGTCGCTTCGAAACGCCACCAACATTTGTTCAAAATTTTTCAACGTAACGCAGGCATCGCCCACAACTAAAGGCTCATTTCTCACTCCATCAAAAGATATTTTCTCAACACCCTCCTTCAAACGCTTTATCACATTTTGCTTATCATCATCGCGCGGAGAAATAAGAGGAAACATAAAACCGGAATTCATTTCTCCCATAGCTTCTTTATAAACCAAACTATTACACCCATTAACATCGTCGTCAGAAGGAATCATAGGGTCAACAAAAGCACTTGCATCCGAACTAACTTCAGAGCGCCCTGCAAATGAACCCTCTGAAGGAATCACAGCGACAGCCCCGCCATCACCGACACCAAATGGCATCAAGTGAGAAACAACACTTAATGAAGAATCTTCCGAGACCCTCGCAGCATTCGAAGACGGTGCTCCAAACACGTTCTTGAAAGGAGACTCCGCGGGTGGCTTCGCAGCAGTCGAAGACGGTGCTCCAAACACGCTCTTGAGAGGAGACTCCGCGGGTGGCTTCGCAGCAGTCGAAGACGGTGCTCCAAACACGTTCTTGAAAGGAGACTCCGCGGGTGGCTTCGCAGCAGTCGAAGACGGTTCTCCAAACACGTTCTTGAAAGGAGACTCCGCGGGTGGCTTTGCAGCAGTCGAAGACGGTGCTCCAAACACGCTCTTGAGAGGAGACTCCGCGGGTGGCTTCGCATCAGTCGAAGACGGTGCTCCAAACACGTTCTTGAAAGGAGACTCCGCGGGTGGCTTCGCAGCAGTCGAAGACGGTGCTCCAAACACGTTCTTGAAAGGAGACTCCGCGGGTGGCTTTGCATCAGTCGAAGACGGTGCTCCAAACACGCTCTTGAGAGGAGACTCCGCGGTTGGCTTCGCAGCAGTCGAAGACGGTGCTCCAAACACGCTCTTGAGAGGAGACTCCGCGGGTGGCTTTGCAGCAGTCGAAGACGGTGCTCCAAACACGCTCTTGAGAGGAGACTCCGCGGGTGGCTTCGCAGCAGTCGAAGACGGTGCTCCAAACACGTTCTTGAAAGGAGACTCCGCGGGTGGCTTCGCAGCAGTCGAAGACGGTGCTCCAAACACGTTCTTGAAAGGAGACTCCGCGGGTGGCTTCGCAGCAGTCGAAGACGGTGCTCCAAACACGTTCTTGAAAGGAGACTCCGCTGGTGGCTTCGCAGCAGTCGAAGACGGTGCTCCAAACACGCTCTTGAAAGGAGACTCCGCGGGTGGCTTCGCAGCAGTCGAAGACGGTGCTCCAAACACGTTCTTGAAAGGAGACTCCGCTGGTGGCTTCGCAGCAGTCGAAGACGGTGCTCCAAACACGCTCTTGAAAGGAGACTCCGCGGGTGGCTTCGCAGCAGTCGAAGACGGTGCTCCAAACACGTTCTTGAAAGGAGACTCCGCTGGTGGCTTTGCAGCAGTCGAAGACGGTGCTCCAAACACGCTCTTGAGAGGAGACTCCGCTGGTGGCTTCGCAGCAGTCGAAGACGGTGCTCCAAACACGTTCTTGAAAGGAGACTCCGCGGGTGGCTTCGCAGCAGTCGAAGACGGTGCTCCAAACACGTTCTTGAAAGGAGACTCCGCTGGTGGCTTCGCAGCAGTCGAAGACGGTGCTCCAAACACGCTCTTGAAAGGAGACTCCGCGGGTGGCTTCGCAGCAGTCGAAGACGGTGCTCCAAACACGCTCTTGAGAGGAGACTCCGCGGGTGGCTTCGCAGCAGTCGAAGACGGTGCTCCAAACACGCTCTTGAAAGGAGACTCCGCGGGTGGCTTCGCAGCAGTCGAAGACGGTGCTCCAAACACGTTCTTGAAAGGAGACTCCGCGGGTGGCTTTGCATCAGTCGAAGACGGTGCTCCAAACACGCTCTTGAAAGGAGACTCCGCGGGTGGCTTCGCAGCAGTCGAAGACGGTGCTCCAAACACGTTCTTGAAAGGAGACTCCGCTGGTGGCTTCGCAGCAGTCGAAGACGGTGCTCCAAACACGTTCTTGAAAGGAGACTCCGCTGGTGGCTTCGCAGCAGTCGAAGACGGTGCTCCAAACACGCTCTTGAGAGGAGACTCCGCGGGTGGCTTCGCAGTGAATGTGTTTTGAGTTGCCGTTCGGTAGAAGGTACGCTTTGCTGCACATGGCCAACAGTCGCTTCTAACTTCCGTCTTTCCGCTCAGGTGTTGTCCGGCTAGTGGCTTTACCTTGTCACAAACGCGACACCTCCAGATATAAGAGGAACTGCTCTCGGATTCCTTTGTCTCCTTTTTGTCCCCAACATTAGGGAAAAGAAATAGATGCTCCTCCGCTTCTACCGGAATACGTGGAGGCTCAAACGCCACTACGGCTTTCACACCCCCTGACGTTGAAGATAAATTGATCACGGGCTTTCTGTTATCATCTTCATCCACATCCTGTTTTCCACATACCGACAATTTTTCCCTTTCCAGTATGAATGTCGACTTCCTCGCGCACGGCCAACAGTCGGAGCGTACTTCAGTCTTATTTTTTAAATGTTCTCCAGAAAGATCCTTTGCCTTACCACAACGGGAACATTTCCACACTCCATTTTTGCCACAGGAGGTGCCTCCCAACTCCTTCACAGCTAACTCCGCGGGTGGCTTTGCATCAGTCGAAGACGGTGCTCCAAACACGCTCTTGAGAGGAGACTCCGCGGGTGGCTTCGCAGCAGTCGAAGACGGTGCTCCAAACACGTTCTTGAAAGGAGACTCCGCGTGTGGCTTCGCAGCAGTCGAAGACGGTGCTCCAAACACGCTCTTGAGAGGAGACTCCGCGGGTGGCTTCGCATCAGTCGAAGACGGTGCTCCAAACACGTTCTTGAAAGGAGACTCCGCGTGTGGCTTCGCATCAGTCGAAGACGGTGCTCCAAACACGTTCTTGAAAGGAGACTCCGCGGGTGGCTTCGCAGCAGTCGAAGACGGTGCTCCAAACACGTTCTTGAAAGGAGACTCCGCGGGTGGCTTCGCAGCAGTCGAAGACGGTGCTCCAAACACGTTCTTGAAAGGAGACTCCGCGGGTGGCTTCGCAGCAGTCGAAGACGGTGCTCCAAACACGTTCTTGAAAGGAGACTCCGCGGGTGGCTTCGCAGCAGTCGAAGACGGTGCTCCAAACACGTTCTTGAAAGGAGACTCCGCGGGTGGCTTTGCATCAGTCGAAGACGGTGCTCCAAACACGCTCTTGAAAGGAGACTCCGCGTGTGGCTTCGCAGCAGTCGAAGACGGTGCTCCAAACACGCTCTTGAGAGGAGACTCCGCGTGTGGCTTCGCAGCAGTCGAAGACGGTGCTCCAAACACGCTCTTGAGAGGAGACTCCGCGTGTGGCTTCGCAGCAGTCGAAGACGGTGCTCCAAACACGCTCTTGAGAGGAGACTCCGCGTGTGGCTTCGCAGCAGTCGAAGACGGTGCTCCAAACACGTTCTTGAAAGGAGACTCCGCGGGTGGCTTCGCAGCAGTCGAAGACGGTGCTCCAAACACGTTCTTGAAAGGAGACTCCGCGTGTGGCTTCGCAGCAGTCGAAGACGGTGCTCCAAACACGCTCTTGAGAGGAGACTCCGCGTGTGGCTTCGCAGCAGTCGAAGACGGTGCTCCAAACACGCTCTTGAAAGGAGACTCCGCGGGTGGCTTCGCAGCAGTCGAAGACGGTGCTCCAAACACGTTCTTGAAAGGAGACTCCGCTGGTGGCTTCGCAGCAGTCGAAGACGGTGCTCCAAACACGTTCTTGAAAGGAGACTCCGCGGGTGGCTTCGCAGCAGTCGAAGACGGTGCTCCAAACACGTTCTTGAAAGGAGACTCCGCTGGTGTCTTCGCAGCAGTCGAAGACGGTGCTCCAAACACGCTCCTGAAAGGAGACTCCGCGGGTGGCTTCGCAGCAGTCGAAGACGGTGCTCCAAACACGTTCTTGAGAGGAGACTCCGCGTGTGGCTTCGCAGTGAATGTGTTTTGAGTTGCCGTTCGGTAGAAGGTACGCTTTGCTGCACATGGCCAACAGTCGCTTCTAACTTCCGTCTTTCCGCTCAGGTGTTGTCCGGCTAGTGGCTTTACCTTGTCACAAACGCGACACCTCCAGATATAAGAGGAACTGCTCTCGGATTCCTTTGTCTCCTTTTTGTCCCCAACATTAGGGAAAAGAAATAGATGCTCCTCCGCTTCTACCGGAATACGTGGAGGCTCAAACGCCACTACGGCTTTCACACCCCCTGACGTTGAAGATAAATTGATCACGGGCTTTCTGTTATCATCTTCATCCACATCCTGTTTTCCACATACCGACAATTTTTCCCTTTCCAGTATGAATGTCGACTTCCTCGCGCACGGCCAACAGTCGGAGCGTACTTCAGTCTTATTTTTTAAATGTTCTCCAGAAAGATCCTTTGCCTTACCACAACGAGAACATTTCCACACTCCATTTTTGCCACAGGAGGTGCCTCCCAACTCCTTCACAGCTAACTCCGCGGGTGGCTTTGCATCAGTCGAAGACGGTGCTCCAAACACGCTCTTGAAAGGAGACTCCGCGGGTGGCTTTGCATCAGTCGAAGACGGTGCTCCAAACACGCTCTTGAAAGGAGACTCCGCGGGTGGCTTCGCAGCAGTCGAAGACGGTGCTCCAAACACGCTCTTGAAAGGAGACTCCGCGGGCGGTTTCTCATTATCTGAAGAGGTTTTTTTTGGGTTTACTGTATTGCTGAATGTAATGTTAGTTTCGTGTTTTTTTCTGGATGCAGCATTGCGTTGATCTTCATCGTTGATGCTTGTATAAGGTCGCATTACTAACCTTGGGTATGTGTTTTTAATTTTTATAATTGTATCTAATTGAGAAGACTGTTGTTTGGAAAAGAAATTATTGATGTATGATTATGTCAATATTCGGCATGTTTTTGACTTTCATGAGGTAATTTTTGTAAATAGTACAAATAGCTAATTTGAATAATTAATCATCTTCATTTACGTAAGTGTTGCTAACCGATTTTTTTCAGGGTGTTCTCAAAGTTTTCTCGGGCCACTTTTTCTCTTTCTTTGGCCACTCTCACGCGCTTTTGAAGGTCATTTATTTCCTTGTTAATGTGATAAGAAAGTAACAGGAAATCGTTCGAGTACAACGGTGAGTTTCCTATATCTTCTATTGTTTTTTCAAGCTTGTTTCCTATGTCGGGTAATATTACGTTTTTTTCTTTTAAAGTGTGATTGATGTCCAATTCATTTTGATCATTTGGAACAATATCATGCTGTATTTGCATCTCCGAACCTATTGTCTCCTCATAATTGCCACTAAAGGCTCGAGATTCGTCCATTCCGTTTTTATGGTCTTTGTCCATTCTTGTATTTTTGCGTATGAAGCGTACAGGGCGTCACTAAACAAGTTCGTAAGTAGCCACACAAAATGTGCACTCAAAAAGACGTAATAGCCTTAATAATCGAACATGGGATTCTTGTTGAGTACGTAAAAAAAAAAAAAAAAAAAAAAAACATCAGCATTTGGTACTTGAATCAGATCCGCAGATAAAAAAGAAAAAATAAAATTAAAGAAAAAACAGCAATGAAACAATAATATATGAAATAATATAACGACTATACCCATTTCTCTGTCTAACACGAGTGGTGTCAAAAAAAAAAAAAAGCTCATAGTGAATATGATGTATTTTAAGGATAAAAATAATTTCTGTTTCTCAGCTATAGGTTTAAATTAATAGCTTTATCAAATTATGCCCCACTTCCCTCCTACCCACACACACACACACAAAAAGTGATTCCATTTGTTTTCTTTTCACTTGACACATCACAAGCAATGAGAGATTCAACAAGTCTTTTTTTCTTACGAACTAATATTCATATCACCCAAAGTTATAATTGTGGTTTTCCTCAGCATAGTAACACTGATGGAGTCTTTAAAAATTCATGAACACAATAAACGTTTACTTTCCCTTATTTTCGTCCAGAAACAGAAAATGGTAATACTTATGTGTTAGTCCCGTGAAACTGATTTGGAGTAAAAGCAGATTTCCACACACCTCTTTCTCAGTTTATCCGCACATTGTTAAATGCCGCTATAAAATCCTTTAAATTAGCACCATCTCAACAACAAAAACAAAAATCTTTCAATTCTTTACACCCAATAGTATAATGAAGACAAGTAAGAAAGGTATTTAAAATAAACTTAATACAGTGAAAAAAAAAAAAAAAAAAAAAAAAAAAAAGACCACAAAAAGATAAATAAAAAAATTATATTTAATAAGCATATACCATTGAACGCCTATTTCAGTGACAGCTTGAAGGAAAAAGAAAACAAAATAACATTATAACGATATATATATATGTATATATATATAGGTCACAAGGTCTTAGACGATAAAGTTCATTTTTTCCTTTCTTTCGTATGAACAACGCACACACACAAATAAAAAACAACAACAAGAGATAAGGATATCCAATGATGCGTTTTCGGTTGAACAAAAGTCCTGGGCTCATGAATATAAATAAAAACTCTTTATTCTATAAGCTTACTTTCGTGACTTCCGCAAAAACGGTCACCTTCAAAAAAATCAACAATCTAGCTTGACAATATGCAAGTATATAGAATAATAATAAAAAAAATTAGATAAGAATATTAGACCTTTCCATCAAATACTAAGAAAAACAATGTCTACATTTAAATACATATAAAAGCACTAGTAATTTTGGGGAAAATAGCCAAAGACTTTCATAGATTGTGAAAAAAATAATACGGGAGTCCAAACGTTTCGCACAATGTTCAATACTCCCAAACCTCTCACGATTAAAAAGCTTTCGTGTCTTCACTCAAAATAGCCCAGAAAGGACAGATGAGAAATTTCCCCTTCCCATCCCCAACGAAAACAACAAAATAAAGAGCAACAAAAACAAGAAAACACCCATAAACCAACGCAATAAGAAAAGCCCAAAACCAAGGAAAATCATTCTGCTCATGAAACTCCTGCATCGACCAAATGCATAAAATAAAAGATCCCCTTACTCCATTTCCCCTCCCGTTTTATCGAATAAATTGATGGACCGCTCGCCGTGCGGCGGCCCGTTCCTTCCGGCCCCGTGGTGCCACAAATTCGCCCCGGCAAGGCGTGTCCGGTCCGGACGCTGCTTGTGACGTCTTCCGCCCCGCGCCAACGACCCCTGTGGTGAAGGACGCATCGCTGACTGCGGGCTTCCCCCGACAATACGGGGCAATTGGCCCTGGCACCACGGCGAGGTGGCCGGCATCGCCAGGGGAGCGGTCTCCCGTTGGGCTTTTCGCTTTGCCTTGGAGGACTTTGGTCGCGTGCTGCCCTGTCGGCCCGCACTCCTGTGGTGTGGAGGTGACTGGCTGTGGTTCCCTCAGTCCCAAAATGCCGGGCAATTGACCGTGACACGCGCGATGCCCACTTTCGCATGTGTTTGCCGCCGCCTTCTCCGGGTCAGGCACTTCGCCCCCCGCAAGAATACCGCTGGCTCTGTGGGGTGCCTTACGATGCATTGGCGCCACAGTGGCGACGACACCACTGTGCAGTGCAGGCTGAGACCCGGAGCACTGCGCCGCGGAATGGTTGGTTTCTGGCTTCCCGCAGAGTCCCGCCCTCGTCCTTCGGTGCTCAAACTTGGCGCAGCGATGAGGCAGCCAACCATGAAATCAACAGGAGGATGAGCTTTTGGTTGCGGAAGAAGGCTGGGGGAATATTTGGAGGGTTTGCTTTTTTAACCAAAAGACAATTGATTGCGATCTGCGCTCTGTGTTTAGTTGCATTTCGCGTTTGGTTGCCATGCCTTCTGCTGCATTGCGATTTTTTCCATTAACTGCAAATCACTGTGTGATTGGATGGTGACGCTCTCCATGCACCTATTCTTTACTACGACACATTAGCAAAAGGTTGCTGTTTTGTGGCAATGAATCTTGTGAGGCACCAGCGGAACGCGGGAGGGTGGTGCAACCGATGGCGGATATGTTAGTGGGACAAAATGGAAGGCTTTTCCTCCGTTGCCACGATTCCTCAAGAAGTGCGTCGCCATTCGAATCAAGCTTCTGTCCGCTTTTGCCAAATGTGCAAATCGAGGACATGAGGGCCGAAAGTTTTTCCTGCGAACCAGCGTGCGTCACCGTGTGGATATTGGTTGCCGAGTTACAGACGATTTAACCGACGCCAACGTTTTGTTCACGATGGATGGTATGAATATATATATAGATATATGGTACTTGGGTGCATTGTGGATAACTTGCTCATCGGTTCATCAAGAACAGGGCATTTTGTCTGCTTTTGGCCGTTGCACACTAGGTGTCTTTGCGTTCATGGTATCACTTTCATTTCTCTCTCTAAACGTCCCTCCTCCGCCGAGGAGACAAGATGGGGGTCGCATGTACTCTCGGCGTAGTGAGTGGGAATGGGTGGCAAAAAGACCATTTTTCCTTGTTTCCTTCTCAGAGAAAGAGAGTTCATCACCCATGAGATGATGGATTTGTTCTTTCTTGTCGTTTGATACTCTTGCTGTGTTTGGAGGACAGCTTTGCAAAAACACATTACTTTTGATGATGGAATTGTGCTTGCGTTCGATCTTTCCCTCTTCTTGCATTGTTGCATTTTTTGATGTTTCTGATGACGAGTGTTGTTGCAGAAGACATGCTGAGGCGCTGGGCTTCATCATCGATCCATTTATTTGTTTTGTTTTTGCATCTGGTGCGGTTTGCGGTGTCTCTGATGGCCTCCCGCATGGAGGGTTTCATTGGGGCATTCAAGCCGTCCTGTGAGGACGCAAGGCCAAGGAAGGCATCCATGCATGGCGGTATTTTTGGAATTATTTTTGCTTCTTTTGGGATGAAGAGTCTGAACGGAGATGGAGTGCGTTTTTCTTATTTTTGCGGCGATACGAGAGCGTTTCATTTTGCGACGAGAACCACACTTGTCCGTGTGCCATTGGCCTTTTTAATTTGAGTGTTGACGCTTTGGATGGCTCTGCCGACTGCTCTCTTATTTTTGTGTTTTGGGGGTGGAGTCCCTGTTTGGTGACGATTCTGCGCATGTTGTTTTGGTGTTGGTCCGACCAGGGCGGAATATATCCACTGCGTCGGGGAAAGGCTTCTGGTGGACCCAACGACACGGCGGCTGGGGGGAAATAACGCGACGGACGTTATCCCTTTGATGGTGGTCCCGCTGATGCTCGATCCGATGGACTTTCGGAGGACGATGTGCAACATCAGTGTGCCAATCCGGCTGTTGGTTTTGGTGCAGAACGGGCGGGAGGCGATGCTGTCGTTGTACCTGCAGGAACTCGAGAGGGTCTATGGGTGGTCCGGACGCCTGGTTGTGAGTCGTCACCCGGAAAACATCGGGTACAGCGCTGCGGTGAACATTGGGCTACGACTTGCACTCTCGCTGCCGCGCGAGGAAGTGCCTTTGTTTTTGTAACAAACAGCGACGTAGAGTTTTCACCCGATCTTCTTCCCAACCTTCTGCGCGATGTGCATGAAATGACGAGGCATGATGCCACTCGCATGGATGAGTTGGCGGCGGAGGTGGCGAATGAGCCGAGCGAGTACAGTCCCGTTTTGCGACGGGGCTTGAGGGTGCTGCGCTCCACGGTGAACGATAACCGATTGTCGACGTCTGCGCTGCTGCCTGACCGCATCCGTTATGCTTCTGTGAAGGAGCGTGAAAAGGCGTTTTCGAAGCATTACGGGCACTTCTGCGCGTATTACAAAGGCAGTTGTTTTGCGTCTGTTATGTTGACACGCCTGGCGATTAGTACGGTGGGATATTTTGACGAGAACT